CAAGCAAGTTGTATCCTTTTTTTTTAAAGTTGTATCCTTTTGAAGTTTGTGAGGGAAGTAGGAAAAACAGCTGAGAACCACAAATTTTATTTTTATGATGGACTTTAAAAGATACTAGGACACTAATGATGTCCGTTTCTAAGGAGCTCTGCTGCTTACAGAGTTGTCAGCAATTCGAATCCACCAGCTGTTCTGAGAAAGAAAAGTGGGAAGTCTTCTCCCATAAAGATTTACAACCTCAGAAACCCAATGAAGGGTCAGTAATATGAATCGGAATTGACTCAATGGCAGTGAATTTGATTTCGTGTTTTAGGTCCGTTTCAAGGAGCTTAGATGGCACAAGCAGTTTGTAATCAGCTTGTTAGCCTACATGTTGATGGTTCAAACCCATCTAGTGGCTCCTCTGAAGAAAAGGATTGGGAAGTACTCCTGTAAAGATAACAGTCAAGCAAAGCCCATGGTGTGGTTCTACCCTGTAATACCATGAGCAAGAATTGACCAGACAATTGTGTAGTTAGGGCTTTTTCAACAAGTACGAGTCTTGGCTTCCAAATGGGAGGAGAAATAGGAGAAAGACTGAGATTGCAATGTTTAGGAGTTGAAGGTTTGCGCCAACCCTACCCCGAGTGAGGCGATCAGGGCTATTTTTCCAACAGTATGCAATCACTTTGTGCCTCTTTGTTACGGTTGGGTAATTCTCACGGACTATAAACCTCAAAAGGATGAGACTGTCCCATCTGGCTCCTGTGGATCTCTTGGTTAGGAGGGCAACATGATGCACTACCATCAGAGGTCCTGGATCTGCCTCACAGCAACCTTCCACTGGTTTCCAAGGATGTAAACGTCTTTTTTTTTTAAGCAAAACTAGTGAAAAAGGGTTATTAAGGTAATAAGATGGAGGCATAGCCAGAGAAGAATGTTGTCATTGTTGCTGAGTGCTGTTGATTCGAGTACGACTCATAGTGACCCTATGAACAAAAGATCTGTCCTGCTCCATACTCACACTTCCTGACACACAAGAGCCCACTGCACTTTCATGGCACTCTTCAATCAAGAGTTTGAAAGAATGTTTCTTTAAAAAAACCACCAAGTGATTCTCTCATGGAAGAGAAAGGTTAGGATTAATTTGTAAAGGAAAGTACATATTTATAAAGCCTCTGTTGTTCCTTGGAACTTATGATGCTCTATTGAGGTGCAGTTTCAACAGAAATCTATTCTTTTAAATAAAAATATCCCTGTTCTTAGCAACAACAATAAAATACTTCCCCCCCCCCATGAATGCAAAACAAGCAGCTATGTTTTGGAGAAGATGCGGCCAGAGTGCCTCTTGGAGGCGAAGAAGCTAGGAGAGGCTATTCCTTGAAGAAGTACATCATACTTGAAAGGGTGGGAGAATGATGAAGGAGAGGAAGGCCCTCAACCAGGTGAGTTGACACAGTGACTGCAGCACTTGAGTGACTTGAGTGTGTCAGACATGGTGAGGATGGCACAGGATAGGACAGGGTTCAGATCTGTTGTTCATAGGATCACTATGTGTCATACTTGACTCAACTGGCGTCTAACGACAATAGAAGCTTACATGTATCAATATGCCCATAAGGCTAAAACTCTGTACTGATTTCTCTCTCTCTCTCTCTCTCTCTCTCTCTCTCTCTCTCTCTCTCTCTCTCTCTCTCTCTCTCTGTGTGTGTGTGTGTGTGTGTGTGTGTGTGTTTTCATACATATGGCTTCCTATCCACTCCCTCTGAATTCTGGAAGGGGCTGACCCTTTACACACTCAGCGTGGAAGGGTGCCTGTCTATGAATTCTTGGCCCACCTCCAAACCCAAACCTGTTGCCAGCAAGTCAATACTAACTCATAGCGACCCGCAGAACAGAGGAAAATTGCCCCACGGGGCTGCCAAGGCTGCCATTTTTACCAGCGCTGACTGCCGCTTCTTTCTCCCACGGAGCAGCA